GTGTGTGTGTGTGTGTGTGTGTGTGTGTGTGTGTGTGTGTCCGTGTATAAAATATATATTTTTATATATATTTTCAGTGCTGGGGACAGCTATTTACATTTTTTATTTTGAGACAGGGTCTTTCTAAGTTGTCAATGCTGACCTTAAACTTGTCCTTAACTTGTTGTCTAAGTTGTCAATGCTGACCTTAAACTTGACCTTAAACCTCCTGCCTCTTGAGTAGCTGAGATTACAGGCTTGCACCCCTATAACCCCACACCTAGCAGTGACTCCAGCTTAACTGGTTATACCTGCAAAGACTTTATTCCAAACAAAGTTATATGCACAGGTATGTATGTAAGGACTTCAACTTATTTTGGAGGGATTTTAACCTATAACGTAGAAAAACTGAAAAAAAAATGTAATGAATTCCCCTATTGCCACTACTAGATTCAAGAATTGTTAACATTTTGCTACTTTTGATTTTTCTATCAATCTATTTTTGTCTATACTGAATCACCCCTAAATACTGCCCCCTCCCCTGCCACTTGCACAGTAATGAAGATTAAACCGAGGGGCACTTTACCACTGAGTCACATCCCTAGTCCTTTTTTAAGTTTTTAAATTTGAGACAAGTTCTTGCTAAATTGTGTAGGGCTTTGCTAAATTGCTAAGGCTAGCCTTGAAATTACAATCCTCCTGCCCTCGCCTCCTGGGTCACTGGGATTACAGGATGGTACCACTGTGCCCAACAAATCCATACTTCTTGATCTTGGTTGCACATTGATACCATCCTGGGAACAAAGACTGTACCTGCAAAAATTCTAATTTCATAATCCTGGGTGCAGGCTAGGAATTGGGGATTTTAAAAGTATCCTCAATTGACTTTATTTTATTTTATTTTTAAAAAATATGTATTCTTCCTTAACTTGTAACTAATCATGAGACACATGTAGCCTTCAGCCCTTAGCCTGATGTTGGGCTTCTGCAGATGCAGGAACAACTCACGTTCGTTCTTCAAGGGAAGTGATGCCATCCCCCCACAACTCCCCCCACGGAGAGCTTTTACAACTCTACTTTTTTTTGGGGGGGGGGAGAGAGAGATAGAGAGAGAGACAGAGACAGAGACAGAGAATTTTCTAATATTTATTTTTTAGTTTTCGGCAGACACAATATCTTTGTTTGATATGGTGCTGAGGATCGAACCCAGGCCACACACATGCCAGGCGAGCGCTACCACTTGAGCCACATCCCCAGCCCTTCAATTGACTTTAATTTGTGGGGAAAGTCATAACTCACTGGTTGAAGGGCTGAACCAGTTTTAATCCACGGTGTTATGTTTGTCATGTGCACCATGTCGCTATTAGTGATGCCAACTTTGAAGACCAGTTTAAGGAGGGAACAGTCAGAGTTCTCCCTTGTAATTAGCAAACAATTGTTGGGACAATAGTACAACATTTAGAGAACATTCTGTTTCCCATAAATCTCATAAATAATAGTTTTAGCATACTTTAGTGATCCTTACTTGAGTCCATTATTTCACAGGTATTTACAAAAAGCTTATTTTCTAAGCCGACCATTTTGCAAAGAACTTTCCCACATCAACTGAGGTTAAACTATAATTCCACATAAAAAGGGAAGGAAAATGCCTAATTCTTTAACAACTAATTCTTAATAAGAAGTTAGTGTAATAATTATCTCCAATGTAGTGAGCTTTTCACACTGAGTACTATTAGAGAGTTATTGATTTATATTTACTTTATATATTATAATCAATTATAGCTATTCTTACAGATGCTCAAATTATCTCAAATTTAGCCAGGGAGACCCCTTTCAAGCTAGCTCATCTTTATTTTTCTTTGCAGAGACAGATGAAACCTAAGGGCTTCACACATGCTAGACAAGTGCTCTACCACTAAGATACATAGTCCCAGTCCTTTTTAAGTTTTATTTTGACACAAGGTCTTGTTAAATTTCTCCAACTGGCCCTGCATAATCAATCCTCCTGCCTCAGATATACAAGTAAATGGGATTATAGTGACATACAACCTCTCCCAGCAGGCTCATCTTTTTGATAACTTCTCATTACTCTTTGAACATTTCCTTTCTTTCTGGCATAGAAGATCCCAGGCTCACCTTGAATTTTTTGGTAACATAATCTGGAGCAAGAATTGTGGAGTTTGTTCTAATGGAAAACAGTATTTAGAAATAAGGAACTGGATGATTATCTGGGGTATCATCGCATCTCTGTCCAATGAACATAAATGGAAAATAGATATTTTTTAAAAAACTGAATTCATAATGATAAGAAAAATGGAAAAATTCACCTAATGGCCATTTACACCATTCAGCGCCTGTAGTCCCAGCTACTCCGGAGGCACAAGCAGAATGATTGCTTAAACCCAGGAGTTCAAGGTCAGCCTGGGCAACATAGTCATCCTACAAATAGGAGGGTTGTTATTGTTGCTGTTATATAGCAACAAGAAATCAAATGTTTTTGATTTCTTTTGGTCTTTGTATATTTAATGGTGGAAGAGTTGAGTAAGTTAAATTAGTATAGCCATATGTAGGAATATTGAAATGAGTTTCTCTCTCTGTACTGGGGATAGAACCCATGGGCACTTTACCACTAAGCTACATTCCCAGCCTTTTTTTTTTTTTTTTGACACAGGGTCTCACTAAGTTCCTGAGACCCTAGCTGAGACTGGCCTCAAACTTGCAATCCTCCTGCCTCAGCTTCCCCGGTTGCTGAAATTACAAGCGTACACCACTGAGCCTGGCAAGAGTATTTCTCCTTTAAAAAGCACACTTTGGAATAATCAATGACATTGGAAAATAATCAAGCTCCATGGAAAAAATACAAAAATTGTACAAGGTGAAGGATTTCAAATTTATGTGTCTCTGTTTAAACATAATATACACAGAAAGAAAAAAAAAACTAGAAAGAACCATCCACAATGTTTTTGGATGAAGGGTTGGGAGGGGATAAAAAGTATTCATTCCACATTTTCTACAAAAAATTAATAAATGCTACTTTAAAAGGGCAAAAAAAATACAATACGCTTTCAAACTTGGTTAGAAATTATGTTTAAAAACTTCGTGAGAGTGATATGCTGTAGGAAGTAAAAAGAAAAAAGAACAGTGCAGGGTGGAAGAACTGCAACACTCTCCGGGTCACCGCATGGATTAGGAACCACAAGGAGAGGGGAGCGAGATGATGACCTCCACTAGGGCTAGAGCGGCCTCGAAAAGAAAAGGAACTTCCGGGGCGGAGCTATCTGAACCTCTCCCTTCCGCAGTGGAAATGTGGACCTCTTGCACTGTTAAGGTCCACGATTGCTTGGCCTCTACTTCCGTTACTTTGAAACGGTGTCTGAGATTGGGGGTAGCCATGGCAAAAAGCAAGTTTGAGTACGTACGGGACTTCGAGGCTGACGACACTTGCCTCCCTCAGTGCTGGGTGGTAGTGCGGCTGGACGGCAGGAATTTCCATCGGTGAGCGAGCCCGGCTGAAGGCCGCGTGGTGTGCCAGCGCTTCCGGGAAATCCGACATACCTGGCTCATGGTTACCACGGTAACGCGGAAGCCAATGAGCGCCCGGCGTTGAGCGTCGCCCTCCGTGCGGGCCGCCGACCGGCTTGTGTGTGAGCTGGTCTGGTTAGTTAAAAAGAACAAGGTGGTTCCCTGGTGAGGGGCTGGCCTGTAACGCCCTGGTTAAGTAAACAGAAACCAGTTAGCAAAGTCCTGGCGGAGAAAAACTATCACTTCTCGGCACAATATTTAACTTTTAACGGTATTTCCCATCTATTCTGTTAGATATTTGAGAGCTGACTGTTCAGAGGCCGGAGTTGGCCTTCTTTCTTATGGGCAACAGTTTACTGTATAACCGTGTTTCATTATCAGTAATAGGCCACGTGGAATGAATTCGATAAACAAAGAAAAAAAAAGAAATTAACACAGATGGGAGTTTAATTTTTAATAAGTGCTTATTATTGTGTGTGTGTCTGTGGTATTGGGATTGAACCCAGGGGTGCTCTATCACTGAGCTACATCCCCAGACCTCTTATTTTTTATTTTGAGACAGGGTCTCACTAAGTTGCCAAGGCTGCCTTGATACTTGCAATCTTCCTGCCTGTCACTGGAGTTGTTGGGATTACAGGCGTGTGCCACCATCCCCAGCAATAATGATCATTATAACTAACATTTATTGAGTACTTAATAGGAACCAGGCATATTACATTTTTATTTTTCCTTTATCTTCAGGACAACTCGTTAATAATCAACAGGTTAATGTCTACCTTCATTTCAAAGAAAAGAAAATAGAGGTGTAGTGGCAATTATGTCCCTTTTTTCTCTGTTGTTCAAGATTGTAGCTAGTAGCCCTGTTACAGTATTTTCCTCTTGGAACTACCTTCATGGTCTGTGTTGTTCGTGAAAAAAACTCTTCTTTCCATGCCTTTCCCACTCCTCTTTCCCCTGTGAAGGTTTGCTGAGAAGCACAACTTTGCAAAACCTAATGATAGCCGCGCTCTCCACCTGATGAACAAATGTGCCCAGACTGTAATGGAAGAACTGGAGGACATTGTGATTGCATATGGACAAAGTGATGAATACAGCTTTGTGTTCAGGAGGAAAAGCAATTGGTTTAAAAGAAGAGCCAGGTAATTTATGGCCTGCCTCTTTTCTTCAGAATATTTCCTATCAGCATCTATTTTTCTGTTTATTTTGGCTTACAGACTACAAAGGATGACTGACATGATTAGTAACAGAGACTATAAAATTGTAATATTAGTGATTCATAGGTTGGCTTTAGCTGGTCAGTATCTATATGCATTTCAGTAATATTTAAAATTTTTATTAAGGAAGATCTGAGTATAAAATAGACAAATTTGGTTTTTGACAGTATTTTGAAACTGTAAAGGAAACAAATTATAATGAATTAGTATGTTTTTAAAGCAGTGTTTTCCATCTTCTGAAGACTAAAGATAATACAAAAGAAAAACATTGAACCGTAAATTTAAATCATATTTAAATTGGCATTAGTAAATAATAGGACTGGAATAAATTAGCTACAATTAAAATATAATATTATTATTATATATTAAAATATTAATATATAATAATATATATATAATATATTAAAATATGTAACTGAAATTGGCCAAAATGTATTTTAATTCTTGGCTTGCTGGAAGGTTTGTGTAATCTCTCTGTAGCACCTGCAGGCCCTATCATGGTGTTGAATTAATATCTTACATTTTCTCTTTTCTTGCTCCACCCAATGTGCCTTACATTTGCAAGTAAGTTCATGACTCATGTGGCCTCCCAGTTCGCCTCCAGCTATGTGTTTTATTGGAAAGATTACTTTGAGGACCAGCCTCTTCTGTATCCCCCAGGCTTTGATGGAAGAGTTGTCGTGTATCCTAGCAACCAGACTTTAAAGGACTACCTCAGCTGGAGGCAAGCAGATTGTAAGTGACACCAAATAAACAGATGTATTAAACCAGCAATTCCATGCATTAAATGTCTCAATGTAATACAGATTTGACTCACATGCATTTTGTTAGAATGCAGTATTTTAAACATTTTTTAATAAGTTAAAAATATTTGAAAAATTGGGAGATTTCATAGAAGTACTCTTGTCTGTTTTTTGTTTTTAATGGGAAGTTGTAGCAATACGAGTTCTGCATTCCTCCTTAGTGATGGACACCTGTACAGTGGCAGCTAAATTTAAACACATACTAAAGCAGTGTGCCAGTCTATACCATTCCCTGTTGTTCTCCTGGGTTACCCATTGTTTTACATATTTGCAGTCATGCAGTTGTGAGCAGGCCTTACGTGGCTATGGTGATATTTATGAAATTTTTTACACATTTGGCGATTTTGATTTTACCAGAATTGGAAAAGAGATCGGAATTATATAAATCAAATGAGTATTCATATTTATATAAAGTGTAACTGAAATGACCAAATAAAGCTGTTGTTAGGGAAAAATATGTTTATGCCTACTCCTTCCATTCATTGTTTCCTGGCAGGACTTTGGGCAAATTATTAAATGTCTCTGAGATCTCTAGAGAAGAAAGAGGCATAGCTGTAGAAGTCCTCAAAGTATGAATATTGAATAGAGATTATATATGTAAACTACTGTTTTGTTCTTCTCACAGGTCACATCAATAATCTTTATAATACAGTTTTCTGGGCACTTATTCAACAATCTGGACTAACACCAGTACAAGCCAAAGACAGATTACAGGTATAAAGATCTTACTACTGTAATACTTAGCTAGGGACGGTTTCCTGTAGTCTGTCCCATAACATTTTTTAATGTTCCCTTTCATGCTTCTTTAGTTCCCTTTACAACTTCATTTGAAAGGATATGAACATCATAGTAGCAATTCCACTGCTCTCTTGCTCTGTAAAGCCTGATGAATTTCTAGTACTTCTTGCGCCTCCTTGAACTTCAGCTATAAAATGTACTTGGTGGTATTGGCTCTGTACTCAGCTGCAGCCACATACCGCCTGCCCTCTTCCAACAGGGCCTGTGTGCTCTCTCAGTTCCAGTAGGCCTTTTCCCTCAATGCCAGGTTTGTGGGGCACCTGTCCTTTCTTGAGTGTAAAACCCCACTGTTTATTTAGTAAGAGTCCATGCTTTGGTAGCTAAATAATTATACTTGAATCATGCTTCAGTATAACTGTATCCTGCCTTGGTTGTTTATATGTAAAATGTAAAAGAGAATAGTTCCTATGTCAGAGGATTATGGTAGAAGTGGCGGGATGCATGTAACACACAGAAAGGTGTGAAGAACATTTTAAATACTTTTATAAATACTAGCTTTTCTTATTAGATACTAGTGCTACTTGTAGGATGACAGACTCTGAAATAAGGTAATGGATTGTAACTGCTCCTAATAAAATGCCCAGTACATTTTAATTACTGAGTAAATGGCTGTCATTTTTACTACTACCAATGATTAAGATTTTTTTTATAGCAGCAGAAGGAATACTAGTAGATATATTCAGTTTGAAAGACCCTAGTTTAGGTTTTGATTTTCTTAGAAAAATAAAGACAACCTTCAAGCTTTAATAATTTGTATACTCAATCTACCTACCTTTTTTCCTTCCTTGTTTTTTTTTCCCCTTTCCCTCACTCCCTCTCTTTTTTTATAGTATTAGGAATTAAACCCAGGGCCTTACACACTAAGCAAGCACTGATCTATAGCTCCAGCCTCTCCTTGGAGGCATGGTCTTTCTCACTGAGTTACTCAGGCTGACCTTGAAGTTGCAGTCCTCCTACCTTAGTCTCCAGATTAGCTGTGATTATACGTAAGTGCCACTACATCTGGCTGTATAATCTTTCTAAGCTTCAGTTTTCTCATTAAAGTGGAGGTGTTATGATGATCAAATAATAAACAAAATAGGTACTCAGTTACTTTTGGTTCCTCCTATCCCCTCAAGGTCTTTGAGTTGTGAATCCAGTGTTTGCTACAGAAAAGAATTTTATGAATATAGGCATCTAAATAAGATTCGAATGGCTCTTAAAAATGAAAATTCATTAGTAACTATGTTTTGTAGAACTGGCTGTTTCTTGATTGATTTGTACAGTATGAGAGGAAGCATTAAGAGATAACAAAAAGGGCTGGGGATATAGCTCAGTTGAGAGAGTACTTGCTTTGCATGCACAAGGCCCTGGGTTTAATCCCTAGCACCACAAAAAAAGAAAAGAAAAAAAAAAGAACGAAGATACACAAAGCTTTTCCTATCTGTTTGTTTCCTCAGGGAACTCTTGCAGCAGATAAAAATGAGATCTTATTTTCTGAATTCAAGATCAACTACAATAATGAGCCGCTGATGTACAGGAAAGGGACTGTGTTGATATGGCAGAAGGTAATGCTGTTATGTTCAAGGAAAGTGGCAGTTAGGGAAAAAGAGCCCATGGCCATCCCAGGCTTTGCCCCCCTGCTGCCTGTATACTGATACGACTCCAGTTGCTAAGGTGAACTAGATCCTTCCCAAAAGAACAAGCTGTAGATTATGTATTTGGATGCTCATTTTGTCATCAGTTGTGGTTTGAAATCTCCCTTAAGTAGAGGTAAGTAGAAGCATGGGATTTTAAAATTTAGTGTACTTACTTAACTATGTCATAAGCACTTCTCATCAAACAAAAGAGTACAGTAAAGGTACAAGGATTGTTGTATTCCTTGAACATGTAAAAAATGCTTTTCCCACACTGGATAATACCATTAAATTGTCCATGCTATGACAACTATAAAATGAAGCACTAAGTTGTATATGAGGATTTTTTCACTTCCAGAAATTTTATGATTCTTAATATTCTAAAATGAGTATGCACATTTACTTAAATACTTGATTCTAGCAATATTTTCTCTTATCAGCTCTTGAGCATAATTATTTCTCTAAACTCATTTCCTGCCTTGCTATGTAGTTTTTCCAAAATGAATGTTTTCAAGTGTTATTGGGTAGTTAAGAACTAGTCATTCTACTGGCAACATCATCCCTTTTATTAGTATTTTCAAAACACATTTGTTCTTTGGCACAGACTTGGTTACTTTTTAATGCAGGTAAGAGAGGAGAAATTCACCTTTAATTTTATAGTCATTGCTATTAAGGAACATGAAATCTCTTTTTTGTTCCTCATCATTTTTCAAAGTATGGTAACATAACCTTTTTTGAGTATTTCTGATTGGTAAAGTGGTTCACATAAAGTATGTAACTATAAATATTGCAAGTACAAATGTGAACTTCCCCCACATTTTCCCTTTTCTTCCAAACCCTCTTTCTTGTTAACATTGTCACTACTTTGACTTTTACCTGTAGGTGGATGAAGTCACGACAAAAGAAGTTAAGCTGCCAGCAGAAATGGAAGGGAAAAAGATGGCTGTAACCCGGACCAGAACGAAGCCAGTACTCTTACACTGTGATATCATTGGGGATGCTTTCTGGAAGGAACATCCAGAGATCCTTTATGAAGACAGCTGACACTCTGCTCTTCAATTCTGCTGTGTTTAACCATGCAAGGCTCCCAGGTCTTCTTGCCTTAGGTGGCCCTAGCATTCCTGCCACCCAGAACTGTACCAGGAGTGACATGACTTGAGTTGGGAGGGATCAGGGAAGGAAGGAATTGATGGGGGTTGTATATCTTGTTCTCTTAAGCAGAACACCTTTTTTGCAATGTTAGAACATGATTTCTGTGGGTTTTTTTCCAAAATCGTGGTACTATTTTTATAAAGTAAGAACTATTTAATGCCTTGTGAGATGAGTCATTTTTAGATTGTGGCATAAGCCTTATAAAAACCTGTCAGCTCTTTTCACCTATGATAGAAAAGAAGCCCAAACTTTACTTCTCACCCACGTATTCTTAACTAGAGAACCCAGTGACTTTGAATATCTCACTTCTGTACCCATGTACTTGGATAATCTTGATAGACCTGAAGATAAATATGAGCTAAAACCTGCCTGGTGCCTCTGAATTCCAGATATTCCAAGGAAAACTCAGGGCTTTGTGCAAGTCTCCAAATCAGCAGTTTTGGCTGAATAAATGAGTAGTGGTATTAGATACCCTTGTGTACACCCTCCAAGGACTGATTTTATGGAGTTGCCAGCATGATGATGATCATCATCTTGCTGGAAGCATAGGCTAAAGCCACTTACCTTTTTCTAAGTACATGTGAGATAGATATATATATATATAAGAAAATATGTGAGAATGAGTAAAAATGGAGACCATTTTTTACTCCATGTCCTCTAGATAATTCCGTTTTAAAAGCTGTCTTCCAGTTCGGCTGCCTGAAAAAGATTCAAAAGTAGTCTCTACGTAATCAGAAAATGACATTTGAATTCAAGAGCAGAGGGGTCAACATAGCCCTTGGGGCAGCTGTCACATGAGTCCTACTAACTCCACCTCCTAATGGGCCAGTGGAGATAGGAGAGCTGCAGAAGTGATGGTATGCTGGGAGCTGTTGAAGTGTGAAGGGGGCAGGAAGTCATGGGGATGGGTGTTGAGTAGCTTACATTCCTCTTGTCCTTACTTTGTATATTAGAGGAAGAAGATTATTTGGCTCAATTAAGATTTAATTAAGAGACAGCCCATGTCCCAGTTGCTGGTCTTGCATTGCAGAATTTACAGCCAAGAAGAAAATGTATTTTTGAAAGTGTGACGGATGGCCTCATCCTTCAGTAATTGACACCCCATCTGTCGATGCCATTTTTTTCCTTCCTGCCCCCCCCC